CTTAGTAAAGCATTCAAAGGGGCGTTGTTTGTTTCCTTTGCGAGTGGGAATGGAAACTGATGAAATGGCTTGTTTCTGTGGAGCTCGAAGATAAACATTGCAACGAGGGAGAATGTTTGCACGACCTGGGAACTGGAAGAATGAAAAGATCATGTGGTTGGGTTTCTCGAGCTTTCATGTTGCACTGCAGATACGGTCTAGCAAGTGAATCGACTATCAGTCATCTCCACTATTTCTAATTTCAATACACTTAACGCATGATTCGAAATGATAAATCCTACTCTGGATATCTGAAGTGGGAAGCTAAGTGTTACTTATTGGTTAGTATTCTGCATTCGATAGCTTGTTGCAGGAAGGACATTGCACTAAAGTGTAGAGAGTCACATCAACGAATTCTAACTGTCTACTAGATGTGTTCCAAGAAACTGGCTCTAGTTCTTTGAATACTTATAATACACCCGTGGTTTCTTCTGACTCGAACGTATTGTTCACAGATTACTGATTATGAATTCATCGAAATTACTCACCAACATTCTTGATTCCCCAATTTTACAAAATTGGATTTGATCTCCTACCACTATTCGATGAGAGGGATATAAGCGTCCACCTGATTAACAGTCTGTACAATGAATATCATGAGATAACAATGACGGCACGTTAGACCTTTCAACAGAATATTTCTATGCAATTATAGTCGCGATTGCAAAATATCTGTATTATTCCACACGTGTTTAAAATGCGTTAATCCCTATAACGCAGAAGGATTTATTTCATATCCGCTTAGACCCTTCACTGCTATGTAGGAAAGCGTCGAACCTACTCTGGATTATGATGATAATAATAATTATTATAACAATAACAATAATAAGGAGAAGAACAATCTGTCTGGACAATTTTACATCATGTAAAATAGATCGTAATTTCCGAACACAGAATGGGCGACAATCAAAGTGTAGTTGATATCAAAGGTTATAAATAGGAGCCAGCCAGAACCATTTTATATAACCAATATAAATTTGCAGTAAGATATTGCTTGTCAACTATGACGTGGCATCATAGCAGGATTTCAAATGAAATGACGCTAAACTAAATTCTGTTGTCTATTCAACAGTGCATAGACGGTAACAATATTGCCGAAGTTCCGAATAAAATACTGAACACATATTGCAGCCAAGTCGATGATGCTGCATTATTGTGTTTACGGGCGCCTACACATTCAGAGTATCACTGAGCTTTTGTGTGAATCACTTGACAACTGGTATTGTCATGAAGCTGTTCAGTGTGATTGATATACGTTTGGGACACTGCACTCCGTAGTGTAGACAAATTTTTCGAATTACTTCATGGCCGACGCTATCAAACACCGGTTAGAAGTGGAGATTTGACTATTATTGTATACGGAGCTATGCAAGGCGGTCAGTGCGTGATTTGTTTTCTTATGTCCAGCTTGTTCGGGCCGCAGTTCTTCATTCGGAGCCATTTTTAGTCTTTCCAGAATAATGCAGCCTAATATTTTGCACATGGTGGATAAGAGCATGATTCCACTTCCGTTTTTGCAAAAATATAAGTCGGCCTTCTTTGATGGTTTGCCTCGGTAGCATTTCTTCAATTCAATGGGTAAATTCCCTTTCAGTAGTGGCGTGAGCATATCTACAGTGGTCTCGGTGACTGTTTCCAGTCTTTTGAAGGAATTCTGTATAGTCTTGCTGCCTTCCCGGCTAGCTTTCACTAGGTTTTATGAAAGGCTTTGCTTTTGTCTAGGACGAGCTGCAGGTGGCGGTCAGTTGAAGGGTCCTTTGAAGTGGCCGGACCACTGTCCACTTTGGCTCTCCTCTTTGTTACTTAGTCTCTCTATCTTTGATTGGTTTCGTCTGTGTTGATCACTTCGTGGATAGTGACATGGTTGTCTAATGTATTGTATAGAGGTCTGTCCTGGTAAAACCGTCTTCTGTCTTTCGTGGCACTCTCCTTCACTTCTTTGTATGGTGCACTGTAGATTCAGTTCAGCTTCTCTTTTCGCTGTTTGTCTGTACAATAGTTCATCTCCTGTTCATGAAAACAAAACACGTAGTTTAGTGAAGGGTAGCTTTTTGTCGAAATCATTCACTTAGCTGTACAATCGTAATTACATACACTTATTTTTGTAAGTGTGTACATTAAGTTTGTCCGGTAAGAATAAAAATTAGTTAGATTTATTGTTGTCAAGACATTTCAAAAATGTGATGAATAATCAAACTGTAACTAGGGTGGTGAGGGTGAAGGTCGGTCAGAGGGTAGTGGTGATGTGTTGTCAAAGACATAGTTAATAATCTCAATCAACACATAAGAGAAGTTGAAGTAGTAGTAGTTGTTGTAGTTACGTAATAGGATGAATAGCTTATTGAGTGAGTTTCGATTAGCATGCATATAGACACAAAAGAAAATATGGAATTACGTGAGAGTTCTAAAAATTACAGATGTTATAATGAGTTAGAAAAAAGCCAGTACACAAACATCAAGTCAGTATGAATAAACACAGTTGTTGGGATGATAGTAGATTTTGTATACATGACTCTGGTTTTTCCAACTGAATGTCTAAGGCTTCAGCAATACAAAGGAAACGGAAGCGTATTGGCTTTGGTAGTTTATTATTCACTTTGCAGGTCACTTTGAAGTAGGCGTTTTTGAGATGGAATGGTCAGTGTTGACGAGCTGTTCTATTATCGCACTCCCTATACAGCCACTGTTGCCCTTTCACAGCCATGCGAGATAGTGCTCTCGAATCCTTTTGAACAGTAAACGCATCGAACGACTAGTGCACTACTTCGCTCCACAGCGACAGGTGAACTGATATATGCACATAGAAAAGGCCAGATGCGTGATCTCGTCCTTAAGGCTTCTGCAGATTAATGGACGACCGGAGAACCTTACTCTTAGCGTTCCTGCGAAGAATGTTCTTTTCAAAGATGCTGAAATTTCCTCTTGAGTTTTTTTTTTTATTTACAGCTTGATTCCACACTGTACTTTTGGTACAAGTATGGAATTTTCAGCATGGATATCGGTAGCCCAAATTTCGCAGGCCAACCAAAGATATCAGTGTGCGCCGGCGTGGGCTCGAACCCGGACCATGTGCATGGTCAGCGAGAGTCCTAACCACTGTGCCACCGACGCGGATATCGCAAGCTAAGTCCCCCTCGAAATCCAGATTCATGTAAAGTATCTTTTTCGAGAGAAGTGAAGTTTCGTTCTTCTGGACATTTGGTTTGATATTCTTGTCAATGAATTTTGGTGGGTGCCCATTCCGGATGAAGTTTTCTTTCAGAGGATCCATTCCTGCTTCCAGGTCGTCAGGACCACGCCTCCGCTAATAGGAACCCAACTGCAGAAACTTGTTAGTTGACCGTTCCAAGTGGGTTTTCTATGGATTGACCTTCTTGAGGTTTCACTGTCTCGCCATCATTATCTTCTACTGAGTCGCCGTATAGAACCATTTCTTCCCTTGTCGTTTCTTCTTTACCAAGTTTCCTCAAATAACGCTTTCAAAAGTTTTCTCCCCACGCAGGTTTCTTTAGCGATGTCTCTTGGTGTCTCTATCCTTTAACTGAGTGCTGTTGTGAAGGTGCCATTCGAAGTTTCGTCCTTCAGTTTCTTAGTGTTAACCTAGAGCTGTTGTCTATCCCGAATACATTGAAGGCAACCCAATTGACCTTAAACAGAAGACAAGGGTCAGGCAACAGATCGTTTATTGAGAAAATCAAGAGATATTTATAGATTTTTATCTACATTATTATTCGTTATTTTAGCGGAAAAAACAACGCCTTCTGATTGGTTCTTCTTGTTGAAGGTTATTCTGTACTGTTTGTGACCGTTGCCTACAAAGTTATCTATATATCTGCGAATCGTATTTGCACACACTTAGTCTGCTGTGATTGGCTGTCGAGTTCCTCAAGGTTAGGCTTTGTTCTTGTTTTTTCTCGTGACCCCGGTTTGGGACATAAACAAAGACGTAAATTGTTGTTTGCAATTTTGGCTTGCAGACAGCTCTCACCACACTCATCCCCCCGTCAAATAGTTTAGACTGAAGTCGGCTTGATCTTCTTGGTGTTGGTGTCATCGTTGGCTTGTCTCGCTGTATGCATTTCTGGAGCTCGCTGACGTTCACTCGCTTCTCTTTGTTCGCATTTTTGATGGTATATTCGTGACACTGTCTCGCGTTGACCGTCGTCGTCGTTTCATGCGTGAACGCACGATGTGCTTGCAGAATCAGTGGAAGCTCTGTCTCCCAGTTACCACCCTTTGTGGCCAGCCACTTTTTCAGGGTGTGGTTGAAGGCATCCAAATTGACCTTAAAGTTTCCTAATACTGTTTTATGAATGGCACAGCGGTTAGCACTCTCACCGACCATGCACATAGTTCGGGGTTTGATCTCCTGCCAACGATTACCATACACCGAATACTCTGATGTATATTGGAAAGCTCAATTATTGTATACTGTATATTTGTGAACATATCTACAATGGTTGGGGTTGCGCTATTTCACGAATTGGTAGAAGTTAGAATTCATGAGCCATTGAATCGGGTCCCAGTGGCTGAATGGTATATGAGCTTGCCTTGTACCCGGAAGATCCTGGATTCGAATCCCAGTGGGTGCGTACTCTCGATGATTCCCAAACTGGGATGAAACAGCAGCTGTCCAGTACTCCCTGGTTTTCAATGGTTCTCTAACTGATATCAATCCGTGATCAACTCGTAAAAACACAACTCACCCTTACAAACCAAACTATAGAACATTAGCTCCTGTTAATACAACCCCATACACCGAATAATCTGAAGTATATTGGAAGGCTCAATTATTGTATACTGTATATTTGTGAACATATTTATAATGCTATATATAAATCATTGCGAACACATTGTGAACACATTTATAATGTCACGTATCAGTCATTGTACATAATTATTCCGTTTCTTGACGCTTTCCACATATTGGATTTCAAATCTTTGACAAATAACAGCCAGTATCACGAGCGATTCCTAAATTGATCAGAGGAAAAACAATCACAATTGTGAGTATTGGATACTAATCATCAAGTGTATGAAAATGATCTATTCCTAATGTTAAGGAGTTAATTACAGTGGGCTTCTGACACCAGCCTTTAGCATATATGACCGTAGTTGTTCTCTACGAATAGTAATGAAATATACTAGCCCATTGGAAAACTGAAAATCCAAAATAATCCCGAGTGAGTACAATGAGATCAGAAAGTGATCGATGAACATGTTTGTACTTCAAACAGTGAAGTGTCAATTTACGACTTTTTTCGAAGCATGCGCAAACTCACATTTCACCTCTCCGTAATTCACTACTCGTCACCTTTTTTATAATAGTCATTCGATGGTTAGGGGAACCCACACATATTGGACAGAATTCATGTGTGGTGAATTTAGTTTTCAGAGGAAGCCAACTGGTGTTTTTCGATCAGACTGAGAGATTTTCCCAGTTGTGTTGGTTCTCGCCGATTCATCATGAAGTTGGAAATTATTCTCACTCATTGCAGAATCACCACACATTGTTAAGATTAGATGCGAACGAATCTTCTCAAATTATTGCTGGCAATAACTACCACTTCATGAAACACGGAATATGACAAATCGCGAATTCACCGCACTCAAATCACATTCTGTCTTTCGATTCACTATTCTGTGTAAAACTGAATCAGCCCTCTGACATCATCAAGCATGATACCATCATATGTAATCTTCTGTTCCACTGGACGGATATTGGGAACACAGGAAAAAAGAGATAGATTCTGTCAAACACATTATCACCGCAGTCGGAAGAAAACGTTTAACTGCCTTAAGTTAGTCAAGTTAACTATGTTTACGCAAAAGTCTTGCTTGGAATCACACCATGAATATGTACACATGATCATTATCACTCACGATTCAAAATACTCCAAGACACGGTTCACAACTTAGTGCTTCGTATTTTGTGGCACCTATATGTCGACTGGTATAAGTGCGCTTGGCGAAAGACTGTCCAGACATCACGAGTGACGATACAAGTTACTCGGACATATGATGTCATGTGCAATTTGGAGTAAATTTCGGTTTTCCGACAGAACGCTGAAACACTCCTCGTGGCTGGGATGCAAACAAAATATGTCAACTTAATGAAGCCTTCTGAGGCCTCTGATGTCAAACGATGTACACAGAATCCTCCAATACAACATCCTGACACTATTATTACGCTCCCACTTCTGTGGAGAGAATGTAGACAGTGAGTGAAGAAACATGTCACAGGTTCTTCGTCCTAAATTCTTCGTAGGTCTTACACAACCATAATTCCTACCAGTCAAACAGATGATTGAGGTGACGTAGAAACTAGTGTGGTTTAAAGCTCACTTCAGCAACATTGTCTCATTCATTTCTCGCCGAAGTACTAGTCCAGTTCACATTCTACCTGTGGTTCGCCAATCAAACTGATAGGTGGATTCGTTTGTAGATTCCATAAGGAGGGTGATAAGTAATCTGGCCAACAAAACGACCGAATCTCCTTCACTATCCCACAGATTTTAACAGATTTTATGTCTTTTTTGGGGTGGTTGAGCGACACAATCGGTAGCTTATCTCTTTCTATCTGTATGGCAGAAAGGCGTTTGAGGTACAAGAATAGTTCCTGACACACAATGACAGTCAAAAGCCATGGACACACGATTGATCGTGTAGACGGGAGAATATAGTATATACGGTCACCAAAGTTAATCAGTAGGATGTCCACAAGCACAAAGAACATCTGAAACCTGGTCATTCGTTTGTAATAATTCACCATTGAAAATTCCTAGGAACGGAAAGCGCTGAAATATTTCAAACATACCGATTCATTTTGAGTATTACGGCCATCGTGGAGAAGAACGCGACCAAACACAATCCACCGAATATGTAGATTGCAATATTGAGCCAGTATTTGCTGCCGTGAACCAGAGTGTGTATTGTTTTCAAGGCGTCTGCATCCGCGCTAACATCCTGGAAAATGAGATCGGTGAAAATAATAGCTGGTGATGGTTGTTGAATTTAAACCAGTGGATACCACGAACTAAGATGAACTATCATGATTGTGTAACTGGATGGATTTTTCAGTTCTTCACTACAGCTTTTCATCCATGTATTCACTCACTCTCACGTCCATCGTTTTCCAAACAACTGGTGGCACATGTTGTGGAAGGGAAGGTGATTTCCCCACTTAGGTTCTTTCTAAATCCTTTCACACAATGACATTTATTTTTTTTATTTTTATTTTTATTTATTTTGTTGATTACAGCTTGATTCCACACCGTATTTTTGGGACAAGTGTGGAATTTTCAGCGTGGATATCGGTAGCCCAAAATTCGCAGGCCGACCATAGATATCAGGTGTGCGTCGGCGTGGGCTCGAACCCCGGAACATGTGCATGGTCCTGTAGATCAGTGGGATAGTTAGTGATTGCAAGCTTTCTACATTGGTTTTCGTGCAACTCCCAATCAACCATCGCACGAAAGCATAGATGCTGAACGAATCACGACCTAACGAGAACACCCACATGGATATCGCCAGTTCGAAATATTTTTCAAATAGGACACCTTATCAAAATCTCTTGCTACATTTTTGCTACATCTTTGAATGTGTTACCTTCACAAAGACACCAACGTCTTCTCTTTACTGGGTGTCCCAAAGGAGTGATACTAAATGTATGAGTATCATAAAAGGAACTACAAATTCTAATTAACGCTTATCATTCTCATTCTTTTTGCATACTTGTTTCACTTGAGCCTCGATTTAAGCTAATTATGAAACAGTTAAATAAGGCTTACCATTACAATTCTCACAATCGGAAAGAACAGGTTTCCAGCCATATTTTGATATGGTATGCTTCTGAAAGAGGTAAATAAATGGAGAGGTTAATTGGCCATTTCGTTTTTGGGGTTTTTTGTTACAAAACTCTGCGTGATACTAACTCTATATTCGAGCATGATACTAACTCGAGTAAAGCCATTCTAGAAAAATAGGTGACACACTATATCACATTATGTATTTCTCTAGCCGATATCAGGCCGTCCTCCTGAAGAATTAATATGTCTACTCGGGTACTGCAAAAATCTTTGTATCAAATGGAAAACCTAAAAGTTCTCATGCGCTGAAAATACATCTAAGGAAGGAAATCACTTCATTCTAAATTAACAGCCGACGTACTTAGAAACTCTCAGCTGTACTACACTGTAATCGCAACTGATCTAACAATTATTTCAGAGAACAAACACTACTGAACACACGGCGTCTGATTCTACACTTCGGCTACCTCATTGAAAAACGCATCGACTCAGTTGAATCTGGACTCAATAACTGGAAGCCGTGTACTCTATCATTCACTGGTTCAATCGTGTAAATGCACAAACGCAATCAAGGACTCCTTCGTCACTTCTGAGTATGATTTTCACAGATTTGTAAAATATTCGACCTTATTAACAGGATGTATGCACAACTCAAGCGAACAGTGTAACTACTGTCTTATTCGCTAATTAGACGCACATCTTCCCACTACATGCGAATGTGCAAGAATATTCTGAAAAATAGAAAAAGCACAAGCCAATGACTTACTTCAGACTTGGATTGTCTATGTAGTAATTTAACTGCATAACTTGGTGAGCACCCAACGTGATTCCCGTCACCTGTAGTTTTAACCGAAGTTCATGAATATACAAGTTCTTAATATTTGGTTAGTGTATGTCTGAAAGACTAAGTTGTACACAATCGTGGAAAACATTTAGTTCCAAAGCATTCCCAGTAGTTGTATCATCTATACGAAAAATCTCTGTATGGTGCTGTTGATGAGGAAAGTTACGACGATAAATTGAACAATCAGTTGTCGGTGTGAAGAGTGACTTACACAACGCATTCGAATGCTTATTTAAGTCATCTGAAGCTAGAAACCAACTCACTCACTTGCATATACATATTCTCGGACCAGTGAAATGGAAGGTGTCAAGACACAACCTCCGTGACACATTCGATTTCGTTGATTCAATTAACAATGTCAACCTGGTGAATATAAAGACGATCTCCTTGCACATCATCTCTATTTCACTAGCGTCCCACTAACAGAAACCACAGGTTCCTTTTTGTGACTTTATTCATTCAATCCAATAGCGTTGGTGTTGGGATACTGATCCATTACCTAAAAGAGCTGCTACTACGATGCACCTCCAACGAATACCTTAGTTTCAACAACGAAATATACAATCAGGCAGATGGAGTAGCAGTGGGTTCTCATCTAGGACACCTCTTGGCCGACTGCTGTACGGCTAGCCTAGCAAACAACTCCTCAACACCAAAGATAGACGTTCTCCATCTCTACGAGAGATACATCAGTTATACCTTCACTATTTGTGATGAGAATTGTGATCTAAAAATCCTACCTAGAACCTTCAATAACGCATCCCTGCCCAAACATCGCCTTCCCTCTGGAAGTTGAGTCTGACTCGGTGTCTCATTTCCCCGATGTTCAACTGTGAAGGGATGCTGACAACTCGCTGAGAAGTTCCATCCACAAAAAGCACACATGGAACGGACAGTTTATCAACTTACAAAGTTGTGTGCCTCTAAGCAGAAAGAGGAACCCAATATACTCTCTTTCCTCGAGGATCCGGAAGACGTGCAATGAGGAGACGAGTGACGAAGAATTGCTAGATCTCCGATGGACATTGATAGAAAATGGATTCCCAACCAGAGTCTAAAACCAAAGAAAACGCCTAAGAGGGTCCAGATCGTCCTCAAAATGATGCTGACAATTGACCTCGAATTTGAAAGTGATGCCAAAGCTGAACTTCTCCGTAGACGGCTTTCGAAGTCTCTCAGTAAAACATACTTCACCGCCAGTCTACGAGTAATATCCTCCTGCAAGAAACTGCTCAACGAGCACATGAAAGACAAGCTGTCACATTGGTCCACTTCAACATGCATATGCAAGTTCATTTGCTCATGTGGAGCCGAATATACGTTTCACGCTAATGTCACATAGGACACAAATGGAATTCTCCTCACGATAGCGCCAAATGCGAACAATTCATGCACATTCTGCCACACCCTTATGTCCGCTGGCTGATACTCACAGAGAGTTGATATTGTCACTGAGAACAGCTATTTCGCAAATAACAACTCCAGCCGAACGTGATTCGACTGAGTGGAGGAACGTATTTGTGAGTTCTGCGTGTTTCAAACACGAGCAACAATGACTAGCGACATCTAGTCATAGGATCTTGTTAGTTAACGTGAACGTGTCAGAAGTGGCCAGCTCGAATTCTAATTTAGCGATATACCGACCACCAAACTCACAACCACCACCTTCAATACATTGTAACAAACCTTCCCACTTACAGGATCGACCAGCATATATGTTCTGTCCAGGTTGTAATCCGGTTCTGGAATGCCACGAAATCGATTGCGAATGCTGTGGTCGACATCGATGAAGTGTCCTTGTGAGCCGTAAATTGGTAGATAGTTGGTGTCTTTTAAACAGGGAGATAATGCCACCAAACCTTTAGGAGCACACTTCGGTTCGTAACTCCTACCTTGACAAAACTCCTGTGGTGATGGATAAACACTGTTGTCCATTTTATCTTCCGAGGCCGGTTCGAACAGTAATACCTGTGAAAATTATTTGAGGAGAAGTGAGATTTATTAGGAGTGTGAAAATAATTTTCATCGTGCTGATGTCAGTGACATGTGAAGTCCTAACTTTTGAGCACCGAGGTGTCCCGAGTTATCGTCAACCGCGATTATTCATTGGCTCGATTCTACACTCCAAACAACTCAATATGCATGCACAATCAACTTTGAGGCCTAGTGAACACTACGCTAAGTATGTGTTTGAGTAAATGTGATCTGCGGTATTTCGATTGACATATGTAATATGTCAATGATTGTTGGGTCACATTCTCCACATTCTGGAAACAGATCAATGCAGTAGAAATAGCAATCGAACATAGAATTTGATTCAAGTGACTGAAGATTACCTGATCTCTAATAAATGACCAGGTAATATATTGACCTCTACGAATTTGTGAATATGAGGAAGTATGTTTAGAGAACACTTTACCGGGTGGAATGTTTATCCCGACAACCTACTGTATTTATGAGTCCTGAGAATATCCACTCCACAAGACAATGGGGACTTCTACTCTCGCTGGAAATTACTGGAATATGACGTCCTCCCTATAGCTACCCACTGAAACCTATCAAGTGATACAATACATTTAAGTGGTCGACTCTCAGCCTTCTTTCAGATTAACTGTCGCTATACACACCATATATTAACAAAACCCTCATTGTGCAGCAAACAAGTGAAAGCCATTAAAGAAAAGGTTTTTTGATTTTTGATTTTTGATTTACAGCTTGATTCCACACTGTATTTGCGGTACAAGTATGGAATTTTCAGCATGGATATCGGTAGCCCAAATTTTGCAGGCCGACCATAGATATCAGGTGTGCGTAGGTGCGGGCTCGAACCCCGGACCATGTGCATGGTCGGCGGGAGTCCTAACCACTGTTGTTTAGTTCATGTACCCATTGACAGATGTTTGAGAGAATGAGTATGTTTACATGCCACCCCAATTCTCAGTTTACCAATACTCCTACGTGGGGTTTCATATGTCGCTTTCTTGTATGGCAAAACTCCGGGCGCCTTACATTCTTTCTTACTAGTGTTATGGACGGGACTACAAAGGACACATCTATTACGGGCATATGGGAAAATTTGGAGACATTATGCAACAACTGTGAAGAAACCTGCCCAATCAGACACTGGAATTCTGTAGAGGTGATGTTCAGCAAAACCCCATTTTCGCCGACTTTGAAAAGACTCTCGACAGGTTTCACTGTGAAGTAATTTGTAAACTACTTCAACACTGTGGAATGCAATGACACAAAAATTTACAAACCAGGTTCAGCAGCTAAACGATGGTGCTGTATGTCAAGTGATTCAGAGGTGAATGCTCAGTGAAGTCGCTGAAGTGAAGACAGGAGTAAGACAAAGCCAATGCATGAGATACTGTAGATGGCCGTATTATTACTATTATTTCCTTGAGTTCCAAGTGGGTTACAGAGCTTCAACAGAACATCGCGATTCCTCCATGTTTCCTGCGACCCTCTTTAGTTGGCTTCACGGTTGTTCAAAAGCTCTCAACTCCTCCTCACACGATCTCATCCACTTCACCGTAGGACACACGTTGAAGTCGGTGTTCCACATTCTGGTTGAACCAGACGGCTTGGCTCTCCATGTCACTCAAAGCTCATTTCGATGTGCATCCGGTGCGTCTCTACTTTCGCCTGCCATAGGTTCTTGGTTGGTTCGTTCACGGAGTTCCTTGTTACCAATCTTCGCCGTTCATGTGATTATCAGTATGGAGTGAAGTCAGCTTTTGATCAAAGTCTGTAGCCTGTGGGAAAGTCTTTTGGTGGCGCGCCAGCCAAGTCAGTGAGTCACACATACATGCATATATGTGTGTACACATATATATGGGAAGAGAGGGATAGACCCGATTACTCCCTGAGAATAGTTGGAAAATGAAGATCTCCTAAACGCTGTTCACTGGAACACATTAAGTGATAGAAAATAGTGAAGTGATCGATCGTCAACGTGCTTGCAGACCGTATGTTGCTAGACTCAACGTATATCAACGGAATGCTCATCATGCGACGGAAGAATGAAAACCAGTACCAAAAAGGTGGCTCTGCAATGGTTGTCGTCTAGTCAATGAATCCAGTGAAATATTTTTGAGAGAATGAGAGTATAATGAGTATCGGCTTTAATCGCACTCATGAAAGACTGGTAGCAGTGTGGCGTACTTGGTGGAGGCAAGAAAATAAATGAAATCAGCATTCAAGTTCCACCGGCTCATTCAGGCTACTCAAGTACATTTCACATACAGCACTATCACCCATCTAAAAGTAACCGATGAACACTCTTCGTATTCATCAAACCAGTGAATTGATGGTTAGTGGTGTTAACCCTTCAAGGGCTCAGTCATGCTTGAGGTCGAAAGGGAGCATACACATATCTAGAACTAGATCAGTATAGTCTCAGTGGTATCTGATGAAAACTACATACATACATATTAGTATATATATGTATATCTGTATACGTGAAGTGAAAGTATTTTGTCGTAATGACCCCATATAACCTCGCGTGAAATACCTTCCTCGTTTCAAAGATTTCATAAATGGTGTTTTGAAATGAGACACTAAGAAACTGTAGAGAAATTTAATCTCCATATCGTAGTACGACTAATAAATAAGGAAGAATGATGTCTAGCACCAATATCATGAAATAAAGTAACATCTATGCTCCTCAATTATGAAGAAATCAACTAGTCCTCTCACCTTTAATGCAGGATAAGCGGGGTGGGGTACTTCTTTCGTAGCCTCCATCATTACAGAACGACAAACGCCATGGGCAAATATATATCTTCGCGAACCGACAGTGAGTCCTGGCCCCAAGGAAAATCCATCTGTGAGGAGAACAAAATACCATCTTGAGCTGGAGTCACAGAAATAAGACGTGTTTACAATATCAACATGTCAGAGTAACTTGATTTCCAATTTGTGATTCACATTCATTAGTTCATTATATTACCAAAACAATAGATGTTATTTATCTATTTTATTTGCTTACCACTCCCATTGATATAGTTCGCATATTCGCTTTTCCATACATTTAAAACACTGCAAAAGAAATGAAAAGAAGAAATTCAATTTGTGTTTCACGATTACTAGCAACACATACGCCCACACACACACACACACAAAACACGGACCGGGAAACGCAAAGAATTCAGAGTATTCTTCGGAGGATAATGCTGCTTCGATGTTGCGTGTCAGTGATCAAAGTGGTCCGATATGATTACACTCAACTACAGTCTGCACACTCCGTTTTCCCGATGAACACAAGTGGTGTCCTTCGTGTCAAAGATCGGTTTCGAGTTTCCACCGGTCGAAAAGCAGACACTTATTACATAACGGAGACGCGCTTATTTACTCATCAACCTCCTATCTCACACCAAGTGTCATCCAGGTCTTTTCTTTCATAACGCCTCTCCTATTTTCGAATTCTGCTTGAGACGTGAAATTCCCACAGGTGGTTTCCCTATCACTCTCTTCAAATTCCACCCTCCAGCACAAAGAATACTGCACCTAGTCCTCCACAACTGACCACAGTGTGCTTATACTGCATGACTGTGACTATTAAGAATACACATATATTGTACGCTGCAAGTTATCTGGAGAGGTAAGAGGTGACGATGATGATGATGATATAGAAACGGTGAATGCTGTCGACAGAGAGATAATAGATATGGAAATAGAGAGCAACAAAAGCCAAGCATAAGATTAATGAAAATTATGAGTACGAACTGAGTTGAATGCAAATCTATCCTTGTTGAACTTCTAGTTTCTTCCCTCTAATGCACTCCTTTATTCTAATTAGCTATTCCATCTGCTCTCCCTGTTATCGGTCGGTGTAATCATGAGGTGATTTGTTCGCCTCATGCAAGAAGAAGAGCAGTCACTCTGTTCGTCGAACATCTTGAAAGTCTTTATGCTTTTAGTCACCAATATCTCAGCCATAACACAGGATACATTCATTTCACAACCTGATACGGTCATTATTCGCAGATGTGTGTTCCCCTGTTACTTTCTACAAACTGTAGAGTGAAGCTTTTGTCGTGATTGTTGTTGCTGAATGGGATGAATCATTTGAATAATGAATAATAACTCATTTAGCTTGAAACTATTTCTTTTGGAAATTGTTACCTTTGGCCATTGAATTCCACCACTTTTCCAAGCTCATTAATATCATCGACTCCAGTTTTAATAACGAACTCATTCTCTGATGTCCCATTCTCCTGAATGTTAAAATATAAAAAAAACGCTTGTCAGGATATCGTGGAGAAAAACATTTCCTAACAATCACACACCAATACACAGTCGATATCTCACTCAATTCTTACCACAGAATATTCAAATAACAGTGACTTAACAAGAAGACTTTGTGTCGAAGAGAGAGTATTCAATTGGATGGTGGTAGCGAAACGCTTGTCTACTGAATACCTTCAACAGTCACTTGTAGTTCGACAGTAAGAACATGTTGTACGCTGTATCCTACCTAGTCTTTCTTCGAATTCGTCAAGACGTGAGGTGACAGTTTATTTCCGTGGACGATCATCAGCCAAGTCCGAATTGCCCGGCTGATTAGAGAATGTGCACGACTGAATGCCATGAGAGGGCTTATTTTTATTACCACAAAGACTACCATTATTATTACAATTATTACTGTTGTTATTATCATAGCCATTCTTTCAGCATTTTACTAACATCAGATTGAGAAATATGTGAAATTTCAAAACATTTTTCTTTAACTCGCTGGTCAACTTACTGTGTGTCAGAAGTTCAGACACTTCAGTTCCGTCTAAACATCCTTCGGATGTAGGTGTTTGTGAAGAGATCGCGGAGATTAGATTTTATGACCTGTGATAGTGATTTCGGAACACTGTAGAATAGTTAGAGTAGACAGTGAAAATTAACATCCCACTGAATTTCATCTTTTTGAATCTCGCAGTTTACTGGCTGAAATATCTGTGTTTTAACATTGTCAAAGTGAAGATAGACGATCCTTTCAACGACTTATTTACCAATACAGGTGGTTCATCATCACTGACGAAGCATATACTCTGACTGAGAAGTATTCACCATCTCAGCGAATCTCTGCCTTCGCCTGGCAGAAACACGTGAATTATATTTCTCAGCACCGAAATAAAAGCAAAAGTATTCACAAGCTTGTTCAGTCTCCAAAGTCGACTGATTTCTAACACGTGGTAACTCCAACTGCCTTTATGAATTCACTGTTCGTGCCCCATGAAGTACATAATGAAGGACTGAGAGGTGGTTGTCTACTGGGATTATTGGAATCCTGCCATGATATCCGCGTATTAGAGTTTCAGCCTGACTTATTAATGCACCTAGGTGATGCAATGCACTAGATCAATTTGCAAGTACCTTTCAAGGTGATAAACAGACAAGACGCAGCACCAGTACCCCAAACTACTAGAGGTGGCGATATTGGAGGAATGAACCCTGAATTTAGTGTTCAGAAAGCGACTAATACGAGGCAATAATAGTATTGCCTTGATAAGCATCGACTGCTTCATTTCAACCCTCCGAAATTTCAGCTCTCTTTCATTAAACAACTTGGTGCTTACATCCGTATGCTTTTATAGTGATTAATATCCTTGCTAGTCTTTGTTGTCATTAATATCCTCCAGTTCGTTAGAGCAGCTATTCACACTCACCAATCGACTGCGTCCATATTAAACTCACCTTTAAACTCTAGAATATTCTCCTCCCTAACTCCCTACTTTAATTATAATGCATTTCTTAGATTTCTGCACAATTTGCACGTCGTCTTCCTCCTCGACATTCTATTTTATTCATATCAAATAAACTGACTATTCAGTTAAACTATGCCAAAAGCCAAATGACAGGGATTACTCCTGCACCGTACTTCTCAGGATGTATGCAGCTGATGCAAATCATGTGGAATTAAAAGTCAAAACAATTCCAACAGTGATGTGAACGCGGGCAGCAATTTTGCTCGAAATATTACCAATAACAAACCTTATCGTTGTGCGTAAACTATTGAAATATGATTATAAGTTATTTCATTAATTTGTGCTAAAACTATACCCAGGTTTATATTTCACAAGAAATTTAACTCACGTTAACAAATACAGATACTTTTTCAGTCGGACACTGTCCATAGGCGTAACACGATTCTATGTTTTCATGAGTATACCCCCAAATTATTTCCTGAGGTGTTGATGTTACAAAAGGCTTAGCAGCGAGCAGGAAACCCCTTGTTAAAATACTAAAACCTTGTAACACGAGTGCCTACAAATATAAATGGAGAAATTCCAAAAGTCAAACAAAATTATTCAAATATTCATTATTAGTAACAACATGAATAATGGATGCTATTAAAAGACGTAGATTATCTGAAATATGTGATGTATTTACGCAACACATTTCGAACTATCTGATCACAAGAACCGTATGCAACTTATCAGATAGAGAACTTAATGTACATGAAATAGCATTACTTGAAAAAGGACTAAACTTTAACATAACTCGAAAACCACTGACAGCAATAGAATTAGCGCCCATTATGGAACCTATATTAACTCTTTTACCTGATGATGTAGCTAATGAGTTATGTCAGAAGGTTGGATGTATCCTATCGAATCAAAAGCAGGTCACCTCGAATTTATCGAAGAACGAACGTCATGCTTTACAAACATTAAGATCAGACAAATCTATTGTTATTACTAAAGCTGACAAAGGCAATATCACCGTAATTCTTAATAAAGACGACTACGACAAGAAGGCTCTAGAACATATCGAAACAGGGCCATACACATTAGTACCAGTAAACAAAATGTCTAGTACTGTGGACAAAGTAAAAGCCCAAGTATGCAATATACTTAGAGAATTGAAACCAAAACTGGGGAATTCAGTTTGGTTCTCAATAGCTCCCAAGACAAACACGGCCGCGAGATTTTATGGAAGGCCAAAATTACATAAGATAAACGTTCCTTTAAGACCAATAATCGATTTTACCAATTCAGTAACATATACTTTATCAAAATACATATCACGAATACTGAAACCACTTCAATACAATATCCCTTCGAAGATCAGAAATATTGATGAATTTAAAGAGAAAGTAATGGATATAATTATTGAAGAAGACGAGATTATGGCAAGTTTTGACGTGGTTTCTTTATTTACTAGTATTCCTATATGTTAGTCACTCGATATTATGAAATATGAACTTGAAAACAATCAAGAAGTAATAACTAAATCTTTATTATCAATAGATGGGGTTATAAAATGTTTAAAACTTTGTTTGGAATCAACATATTTTACATTTAAAGACAAACTATACTGTCAAACAAATGGAGTTGCAATGGGTTCACCAGCATCTCCAATTGTAGCAAACTTATATATGAAAGCCTTAGAAAAGAAAAGTGCTTCGGTGGTATAGCGGTTAGGACACTCGCCGACCATGCATATGGCCCGGGTTCGATCCCCTGCTGGCGCACTCCTTTACCTCACTGAGCCAGAAATAATGCTGATAAAGAGGAAAGGTTGGGCATTAGGCTAGCAACCCCATCCTGTAAAAATAATCACCACTGCTACAGAAACTTCAAGCCACTAGCTTGTAACCCTATGTTCCACAGGGAACGTGAAGGAAAAATTATTATTATTATTATTATTATTAGAAAAGAAAGTATTGACAAGTCTTAGCTGTCATCCTAGAATATGGTACAGATACGTAGATGACACATTTGTTGTCATAAAGAAAGCTGAAAAAGAAGACTTTTTAACAGAAATTAACTTAATCTCAGAATATATTGAGTTTACTAATGAGATAGAATCGGCGGAGGGAACTCTAAACTTTCTTGATTGTCTTGTAAAAAGACAAACTGACGAGAAACTAAAGTTTACCATATACAGAAAGCCGACACATTCCAATAAGTATTTGAATTTCCAATCAGATCATCCAATAGGAATGAAAGTCTCAGTAGCTTTAAATCTCTTTAACAGAGCTAGAAACATTATAACTGATAATGACGATATGGAGAACGAGATAACCAATATAAAACAGATTTTGATTGGAAATGGTTATCCTGAAAAGCTACTAGATAATATCATCAATAGAAAGGAGCACAAAGAAAAACAAAAAGTTGAAAAATCCTGGCTATCGACGATAGCCATTCCATATCGAAAAGACACAGCTGAACAACTTCAAAGACTATTTGCTGCATATAATATTAAAGTCTATGTTAAACCTTCTAATTCTCTAGAGAAAGCGTTAGTGCATGTCAAAGATATAGTTCCCAAAATGTCACAAAGTAATTGTGTCTACAAGATAAAGTGTTCAGAATGTGAGGCATGCTATATAGGGGAGAGCAGTAGGCAGGTGAAAGTCAGAGTGAATGAACATAGACTTTGCACGAAACGTCCACCTAGAAATGAAGTAGAATTAAAAAGTCTAGAAAAAAGATCGGCTATAGCAATGCATGCGATAGACAGCGGACATAAGATTGATTTTGACAATGTCGAAATTCTTGGAAGAGGATTTCATTCACATAAAGAGAGATTGACTTCGGAAGTCTTACACATTTTAACCACATCAAATGCAGTGAATAGGAAAGAAGCTATAGACTTATATCCTATATGGCAAACTCTTATGAAGCAAATGAAAAAACAACAAACACTCCATAAGCCTCCATGACCTTTAAAACATGTAGTGACACGTTTATCACATATGAATTCACGTATTTTCCATATGACAAATAACATACATACACACACAAGCATACAAATCTAATCTTTACAAATCAACTATAGAAGAGTAAACACAACAACAATTTGACATTAGTCATTACAAATATATATGAGGACAGCTTACATACTTCTATTGGTAAAAAATGTCCATAGACAAATGACCTTCAAATAAACTGACTTAATTTTATGTAAAAAATTTTGACTATATATTTTGATGATTAATAAAAATCCGAATAAATCTGCTGAAGAAGCTGTGGCTTACACGGCGAAACGTTCAGAAAAATCTTGTTTTGATTTTCTTAACACGCTGGGATTAATTTAAATAATTTATAATGAATCAATCTGACTTGGAGCTTAAATTATTCCAGGAAATTCGTAACACCTACGGTCTAGAAATCTATTATTTGATCACACGTTTACTTGTCAAGTCAATTTATGTAAACATATAAAGAGCAGTTCAAGTACACAAAGTGACAAATAGAACTTCAGAATAATAAGA